CAAGGGAACCCATGAATAACCAGGGTTATTTGACTTCATGGAAAATCAGATGTAGTACACAGATTGGAATATAGTTCAGACTTCTGGGCAGATCTAGTGAATGACTTATCTTGGAGTCTCTGAAAAGGGGAAAAAACCATTCGGTCCTTCACCCTGACCATGTACATGATTTCTGCTTGCCTACTGCTGCCAGTCAACCACCATTCCCCTCCCCAACTCCTCTGTATGAATTTTGATTTCTGCTAACTCACGACTTTCTCTTGTTTAGAATTTCTACTTACTCATAATAATTTCAGCCTCCGCTGTCCCAAAGACTTGGCATGTGTGATTTTGCACCTGTTCTGGATTCTAACCCATTCTAATATTTCTAGTTCAGATATTCTATGAAGAGAAGTTACGTGGATTTTTCAACTATCCTTCCTGTTGAGGCACAACTTTTCCCAGCCTTCAGCCAAAGGTATGGTTAGTTTCGGCAACACAAGTTAGATTCAGCAGCAAGTTAGATCAACTAGGTTGTTTGCATTGTTTTTAATGATCAGAAATAGAGACAAGTGAATAGAAACAAAGAGAAGATGAGCAGCCATAATCATATCAGTGAATCAGCAGAGAGAGGCCTCTACTGAGATCACTGCAAAGTAAGAGCCATGACTTTAAACTGACCCCTGGACACTGGAACCACATGTCACTAATTGTCCCTGGTCCCTGCTGATGTTGGATATTAGAAACTGACTTAACTACTACCAGCAGAAGTTCTCCCAGTGGTAGCCCCCTTGCTTCACCACTTCCCGACTCCAGGGCTAAGGAAGACACATTTTACTGGCCAAATCTAAGCCACATGGTCTCATCTAAGCTATGTGTTGGAAGAGAGAAAAGAGTACATGGCTTCTTAGCTTCATCACTGAAACTCAGCCTCTGCTGTCACTGATTCTCACACAGTGGGGATGTAGCAGGAGGGCTAGGTGATACAAAGCTAAGAGAAAATGCAGGTATTCATGACACTGACTCAAAGATGGCTGTCCTTCAGTTATAAGCTCATCCCGACTTGATCAGGGGGCAGAATGTGACTGTTCACTTAGAAGGGATCTTAGGCATGAGGGCACCTTGATTGACCAAGACGGGTGGTATCACAACCAAAATCATACAAGGATTTCTTCCAAGTGTACCATGCACATAGAGGCATAAAAGACAAAATTGTTCAAAGTATTTATTTATGACATATCCATCTTTCTTGCTGGAGAACAAGCATTTTATGGCAGGAACTTTGTCTTATTTATTTTTATATCCTCAATGCCTGAGATACAGCAGATGTTCCAAAAATAGACCTAATCCAATAGAACTTGTAGGCCAGGAATTTTTTCTGTAACATTAGATGCCATAAATTTCCCCGTGCTTTGGGGAATATCATAATTGAACAACAAAAATGATGTATCTACATATCATGAAAGAAGATAAATTGTTATGATATATATATATATAATTTTCTTCTAGTTATTTTCTCAATATTTTTTTAGAGAGCACAGATTTCTGAAACTGTGGTTGATGGAATGAGAAAACTGCTTGAGAACTGAGAGGTGGAAACAGGAGAGAGGAGCAATAAAAGAAGGTGAAAGAGTTGTTAGTACAGAATGTTAGCCACAGAACACTTTAAGATTTTGGTAACTTAGAAAAAAATTGGTGAATGGGTAAAGTAATTCTGAATGTTGCTTTGGTGGCAACAAGGAAGAAAAGATGAAGGTCATAATTTTAAACCTGCGCTACATGCTGAGCGGTTGTTAGGAATCAGGTATGAGGGGCTGGAGAGTGGCTCATCAGTTAAGAGCACTGACTGCTCTTGCAGAGGACTGGGTTTGATTCCCAGCATCCACATGGTAGGTACAAACCGTCCTTAACTCCAGTTCCAGGGGAATATGAAGCCCTCTTCTGACCTCCATGGCATTGCACCACACGGGTGCACTCTCATACATGCAGGCAATACACTCATACACATAAAATAAAATTTTTAAAAAAGGAATCAGGTATGAGTATTAGTGTGCACAGGTGTGCATTAAACATTTCTGGAACCATTTAATAAAACAGTAATGTCCCGCGCTATCGTCTCGCCAGCAAGAACGACGCGGCACACTCAGGATCCTTCTGCAGAAAAGCTTTAATGCATCTTGAGAGGGAGAGCATAAGCTTACAGGGCGAAGACCCCGAATGTCGGAAACCCAGCCCTTATATAGGTTAGTAAGCCCGTCTTGAACGTGGCAACTCTTGATTGGTCGCAAACTCATCAGCCCATATCACGCCACGAGGTAGGCAGAGACTAGAAGGTGGAAAATTACTTCGGGCATGCGTACTGACTTATTTACTGCTCAGCATGAACCGGATGTGAGCGCCATCTTGTAATGGCGTCTGCAGGGACGGCAGGCGGCTCCCCACACAGTAATATTTTCACTTCATAGATAAAGAAAGGCCCTAAGAAGTAATATAAGTGGCTTATATCACACAGATAGTAGGTGGCTGACGTCCTCTTCTGACCTTCAAGGGCACTGCACAACATGGGTGCACTTACATACATGCACTCATACATATAAAAATAAAGAATAATAAGCAAAAAAACTTTAAAAAAGAATCTCAAATGCAGTCTTGTTGGATTAGGGAGGAACTTTGAATAAAAGTGTCCTTACAAGAGAACAGAGGAAACACATGAGGAAGATAAAGATAGACAGGGGCTATGGTGCTGCACCTCCCTACAAGTCAAGGATCATAAGTGTGGCCAGAATCTAAGGAGAAGTCAGGGAGTAGATTCTCTCAGAGCCTCCAAAGGTGACATTTTGATGTCTCCTGCTTAAATCCATCCAGTCATAGCATAAGTGGAAATTTGTTACACAAGCCCCAGGAAACCACAATACCAACATGTTTTGGATGTGAAGAAAAGCCTTAGAAAATGAGTACCAAAGATAAGGAAAAATGTCTTACCTTGTCACCAAAGGTAAAGAAATAATCTTATGCTAGTCTGGATAAAATGCCTGCCAGGCAGCAAACAGTTCTCTTCTCTCTCTCTCTCTCTCTCTCTCTCTCTCTCTCTCTCTCTCTCTCTCTCTCTGAAATTTGCAAGAACTCTGCACAGTTTCTTGGTTGACACCTTGCATTAGAACCATGTGGAGTGTGAGTGAATCGCACTGTGAAACTGGAGCTGGGAAACTTAAACACAAAGAAGTTTGAAGATAATTATCCTGAAGACCAACAGGCTTAAAACTATCCATGTAGACTCCCCAGGTAGACTTTCCCAAGCGAGATATGAGACAAGCCAGTAGCTCATGACATAATTTTGGATGGCAGAGAGGGATTATATTTTTATAGTCAAATGCAACTTGTAGCTAGCAAAGCAATGGTTTCATGAATATTGCTCAGAATGGAGCTAAATAAAAATCCAAGGTAGAATTATTACTTTACTAAATAGTAAAGTAGGAATTAGATGATGTAACTGAACTTGTGGACATAGTGTATGAACAGGTAAGGTTTGCTACTCAGGCATGTTGGTGTACACCAGTGATCTAAGCACTTAGGATGCTGAGGTGGAAAGATTGTAAAATTGAAGCCAGCATGGGCTACACACTGAGTTCCAGACCAGTCTGGGTCATAGAATGAGACCTCGTCTCAAAACAAGCCAGCAAACAAACACAAAATATGGGAACTTTGAAGATGTAAATGCCAGAGTGTTGAGTGTCAGGAGAGAAATTCTTTGAATTTGTTCTCTTGACAATACAGCTCATTCTGCCTTCCTACATTTTATTTTATTTATTTTATTTGAGAGAGGATCTCAGACAAGGTTTCTTCAGAACTGATTATATATGTAAAGATGACCTTGAACATCCAATCTTCTGCCACCACCTCTGGCATGCCAGTAGTACAGGCATGTATGATCCTGGGGAGTTTATGTGGTGTTGGGAATGGAATCCAGGACCTCCTACATGCTAGGCAAGCATGCCACCAACTCAGCTGTATTTCCTGTCCACCATTTTAGGTCAGGCACAAGCAGACCCATGTAGAAAAGACAGACACATTACACAACTGCCTTGCTGAAGCAAGAGGAGAGACAGCCTTTACTTCCCAAAGTGCATCAGAGAAGAGCCCCATCTCTCTCTACCTGAAAGCGAATGAACAGGGACAGTAGTAATATGACCCAGGAGCTGGGCCCTGGTAAAGAGCAGGATGTGCGCAGGATCCCTGAGACTTGGGCAGCCTGGGGCTCTGAAGTTTGATTTCCAGCCACAGGGAAATAAGCCTTAGGCTGAAGACAGCTGGAGATAAAGGTAGTCACAGCAACACTTCCCAAAGGCGGAGCCATTCAGAACACATGGACCAAGAAGCCAACTGGAATCTTAGAATGTCTGAACAAAAAGAAACCAAGACATCAAATGAACCAAGCTTCCCACCTTCTCGGAGACACGGAGCTGAGTGGTAACCTAACGAAGCCCACCAATGGAAGACCCCGGTTCCAGAATTCCTTTATATGACTCTCTGTGACAGTTATCAATGGGGACTTTTACGATCTTTTATGACTAGCAGTCATAGAAACTGCAATCCTATTATTAATTCATTTGCTGGTGAGGCAAAGTACTGAGAGGGTAGCAAGAAGGGCTACATGAGGGGGTTCTGAGGTGAAGCTTGTCATAGGAGGAGGCGATGCCTCCACGCAGCTCAGAGCTGGGCTGGCGATGATGCACCGTGGCCTCGCCTTTGGGAGTGGGGGCTGCACAGAATTCATAAAATATGCGCAAGGAGAAACTTGGCAGGAAGTGGATGCTTTCCTATGCAGAGAGACTCCAGAGTCACAAAGAAACCTGAGCTCCACCTCATACCCCTAACAAAAGTTCACTGCACACCTGCCTACCCCAGATGGACTCCCAGCGCAAACGCCTCCACATCCTCCGAGATTTTCCAACCACTGTGGCTCAAGCTCCTCCCTCTCCAGAGCAGGATGCTGCCCTAGCGCCCAAGCGCCTGGGCTGGGGGTGGCGGAGAGTGGGCCTGGCTCGCAGTCATTGGTCGCGCAGTCCCAGAGGGTGGAGGGACGCCGCGCGGGCCGGGCACAGACAGCCCCGGGCCCACTCCCGCTGTGCCCGCACCCTGTGCGCTCACACCAAGCGGCGCATCCTCGCGCGCTGCATTCCCAGGAACCGAGAGCGAGCATCGCCGAGACAGGGGCGCCGCCCCAACCCAGCGTGGAGTCGGGATCTGCAGGCCAATCATCCAAGGCTCTAGAGTGGAGAACCAAGAGGTACCAGGGACAGGGGCGGTGCTTTGGCTGAGTGCCTGTCCCTGAAGCCCCGCCTAGGGCGGCCCTGGGGTCCCTTTAGCTTCAGGATTCTGCATCTGGACTCTCCTGGGACTCCTTGAGATTTAGCTCCTTTCCTCCGCCCCTCTCCCCAGCCTTGCTTTTCCGTGACTTCTTGGGGTCCCGGAACGGGTCCTGCAGTCCAGCTCTCCTGATCTCAGGGAGACTGCTCCGCTGGCTACAGCAGGTTCCACTAAGAGCCAGGCACGCAATGTCCTTGGCCTTGGGATGACCCGCCTTGTTACCGGGCACAGAGAGAATCTACCCTCCATTCTGCAAAGGTTGATTCACCTGTACAGTTATACACTTTGCAATGTGTTTTTAGGTGTATTTTGTGTGAGCTTTGCGATGTGTGACTATTCTCGTGGTTTTTGTGAGCTTAACTGAATTTCTAGGGTCATCAGTCCTTTCCTGGGGACTCAGCACGCGCACACTGACGGCTGGCGTTGTTCTGCCCTGTGTTTTCAAGAGTCTTCTCGCCTGTCTTCGATAGCTCCAAATCCGAAGAAGTTTGTCCCGGCGCTGAACACTTGGGTTCCCAGCGGTGATTTCTCAGTACCCTGCAAACCCAGTAAGTAGCGCACCCCAACCTTTCCCTTTCTGGTGGTGAGAGACAAGACGCTGTAGTCCTGCGCTTTCCAGGCGAGCCGGGAGGTGCGTGCATTGGGGCAAATGTTTGCAGTCTCCTTAAATGGGAACGTGTAAGGCGTCCTTCTCCAGAGAGCAGAAAGACCCTTTCATTCGCAGAAATGTCTTGCTGAGGACCAGGTTTGTGGACTGTGCCTGTGCACTTTGCACCTCCAGATGCCTGGCCCCCAGGGCTCGGTTTGGTGTCAGATTCCGGAGACCGGGTCTGTTTCTTAATGTCCCTCATTTTCTCTGACGTTTTATTTTCCTAGGGAAAATGTTCTGCTAAAGCACTCGGTCTATTAAGTAGGGGATCTGTGAAAGCCATCGCATTTGATACAGCTCCCACTACAGGTACAAAGAACCGGTGAATGGCCAGCTGCCTGCACTGTCCCGGGGTCCACCGGGAAACCACTCCCTATGATGTTTCTCCTTTGGCTGCTTTTTACTTTATGCTTTGCTGAGCCATTGTTCAGACAACAGGGAAAGAAGAAAAACTGGGAGTTTTTAAACAAAGGTTTGTTTCTTGGTGCAGCCTAGCCGACCAACACACCATCCTCAAGACTTTTATTAAAGATTATGTTTAATTGGCTTACTTGCACAGCTAGATCATAGACTCTAAGACCATAGAAGGTCGTAGATATCTTTTTTTGTGGCTAAATGTTCTTCAGTTTTTTTTCTTGTCCCTAACTTTTATTAAAGATTATGTTTAATTGGCTTACTTGCACAGCTAGATCATAGACTCTAAGACCATAGAAGGTCGTAGATATCTTTTTTTGTGGCTAAATGTTCTTCAGTTTTTTTCTTGTCCCTAACCACCACATACACAGGAGAGACCTTTATAATCAGCAAATGGCTTTTTGAGGTGCTTGTGGGTAAAGCTGCCTCCCACAGGGTATAGCCTGGTCACCTTGAAATGCTGGACAAAGTGACAAAGTGGAAATGGTGAAAGGTCTGCCACCTCAGAAGTACTCTGGAAATATTGTGTCCCAGGCAGGGCATTCCATTTTTGTATTTTGAGTTGAAGGGGGACACTTATTTGTTGTCTTTATTCCTCTTCAAAAGGATGATGCGCCTTGAAAAGCTCAGTACACATTCACGGTTGTCTTTCAAGCTGGATCCAAGTTAAAAAAAGATTCTGTTCCTCCTTGCTCTTGGGTCAGTTCAACTCATCAGATTTTACTAGATGTTAGTGATGTGCACACATTGTCAGGGGATCAGAGATAAATAACTGTGTTGTTGTGTGTGGCAGTGAATCCACCAGCGGTTTCTTTGCAGGCTTTCTGAATTCTTTTTTTTTTCTTTCTTCTTATCTTGCTTAATAAAGCAGATGAGGGATGGTGCTGATGATTGGTAAGCGTGATTAATCGTATGAGTCATTAAGTCAACTTGGAGTTATTCATTATAAGAGTCAATGATTTACCCATCCCAGGTGAAATTCTTTCACACAGCCTTCAGTCCAACAGGATCAAGTCTGAGCACATTTGACAATAGTTCTCTTTTCTAGGCTTACTTGTCTCCCTGAATATGTATATATGAACATTCCCCTTTTATGATGGTTTTTGTATTTAATTAATTAGGAAGAGGTGACAAATGTGGATCATATTGTATTATTGCATTACTCTATTAATGTAAAGTGCCAGAGGCCTAACTTAGATTTTTATTATTGCTATAATGATAGCTAAAAGAAAAATAAGAAAGCCTTTTGGTTAGTTAGTAGACTAGAGGATCCAGTGAAGAAGTTCAGGATAATCAGGGTGCATATCAGCCCACATGTGCATGTAAGGGATCCAGACAGGCATAGGTGAAGAAGCCCTAAGCATGCACGTATGGCTTGCCTTTTATGGGAGTTCAAGAAATATACCTGAGCATTCCCTGTCCATTCCAGACGCAGGATGGCGTACTGCAAGCCCAAGTCTGTAGTCTCCTCAGCTCTGATGCAAATGTTCGAGATGCACCCACAGGGTGCAGCATTCTTAGGCAGTTGTCTCCCGACTTAGAATTATTTCTTCTTGGGGGTATGGCTGAACTCGTGCTCACATTTTGAGCACAGAAATAGTTAATATTTGTCATTTGTTAAGGTTTGCAGTGAGAAATGAGAGAGAGAAAGAGAGAGGGAGATTCCTAGCATTCAAGAAACCATATATACATTAATGGCATCTCTGACTTGAAATGGCACAATCTAGCCCAAAACAGAACCAGTATTTCAGAGTTCTGAATTTATGTCAGGAATTAGAAATGTTATTGATAGATCCCCAGTTCCCACTTTAAAATTCTCATTATGGATTTACATAATGAGATTTAAAATAGGTACTGTGGGCTTGCTTGTTTGATACTCATACGCATTAGAGAAAACCATTGAAAACCTCAGCCTATAATAGTTGCTAAAGGAGTCACTTAAGAAGGTGACAGACCAAATCAAACTTCTGATGGGAACAAAGGGATAGGTGACTGTAAGAACTGGTTTTAAATTCAGAAAGACAGGAAGATGCTTTACCCATAGTTACAACACTAACTCCATTCACTTAAGGAGCATTCAAAGCGGAGAGTCACTCCCCAGGGGAAGCCTAAACAGCAACTTTCCTGATTGACATGGTAGTCTGGTGCTGACTGCAAGTGCCTAGTAAGCCATCGCCCACTGGTTTGGTTCTTGCTCAGTTTCAGTTTCCCCATGATGGAGACTATGTAGCAGAGGGACACACTCTTATAGTTTCCTAAATGGAACGATCACAACTTAGTATAGAATAAAAATGTATAATTCAATGCACAACAAAGCCCCATAGGGAAGACTTTCTGGTCTTAGCCTGAGAATCTTGAAAGAATATGACACAGACAAAGCATTCAACAATTTGCATTAAGGATAGACAGTATAAAAGAAGGTGGAATAAGAGGAGGAAGAAGAAGGGGGGGGAGAAGGATGAGAAAGTTTTAGAAAACCAGTTAGTTCTTAAAAACCAGTTGTGAGCTGGGCTTGATGGCACACAACTTTAATTCCAGCACTCGGCAGACAGAGGAAGGTGGATCTCTGTGAGATTGAGGCCAGTCTGGTCTACATAGTGAGTTTCGGGCCAGTTGTGGCTACAAGGAGACCTTATCTCAAAAAGACAAGAAGAGCAATTGTGTTTCACTGTGCATGCTATAATTATATTATACCTCTTAATGGAAATACATTTATTATTTTTCTGCTCATAAAGCAATACACGTGCTTTATATTAAAGTTCAAATGCAGAAATACATATTACAGAATATTAACATATCTATAACAAGATATTAACATATCTATAACGCTTTCACAAGACATCTTGGTTTGGAGCCTCTTATTTTGATTTTACATCTAAAATCATGCATGTGGTTAAAGCAGTAGTAGTTGTTTTACAAAAATGACATCACTCCATATCAATCTAGAGCTTTCTCTCTTGACTTAGACATACATGCCCAACATCTTTCCATGCTGGAATACCCAATCCTTTCTATTAGCATAAGAATTTTCCACTGGATGATGCTTCCATCATTTATTTAACCAGTCCTTGACTCATCGACATTTTGGTGCCTTCCAGATTTATCTGCATAATGCATTTTTGTTAAAGCACATATAAAACTTATCTGATTTTTTTTCTGCAAGACAAATTCTTTGAACTTTTTAGTGACACAGTTAGCCTCTTATGGCATACATTTTGAAGAGAAAAGGGAACATTACGTTATTCATCCAACAAGTAATAGACTTTAGGAGTGTCCTTTCTATGCCTGGCACATAATATATTTTTACCTATAAGAAAATTTTCTGTTGACATGTAACATTCATATAGAAAGGCATAAAATCACTAGGATATAATAATTTATGATTTAAGTGTTCATTTTGAATGCATCCAAGTAAACAGCATCCATCTAAAAACATAAAATATTACCAATATTTACCTCTGTCCCACTATACTTTGGTCCTCTGTCAGTTCTGACCATCCCTGTGAGCTTGCTGAACTTATCTTTCAAGATGCAGGTGCTAAGTCAAGGGCTTGCCTTTATAATTGGATGATGGAATACTGACTTCCATGGAGAGCGAAGGCTTCTTGCAATAAAATTGATTGGGTTCAGTGGGAAGAGTTTCTCCTTCAGTCTGCAGCCTTTTCATTTTACTATCCATGGCAGTTTTGATATTAAATGTACTCACTGGGCCTTGCTTGGCACATATTTGATTCATTTCATTAATAACTTCTGAATAACAAAAGACACTGAGCTGTTTGTTTTTCATTTATTTTCCTCTATGAAAATAAAATGGATTTGAGTTTGGAACGGTACCTTGGGATCCCAATTTGTGGTTTCTGTCACCTGTTGGTTTTTCATCTGCACACATTTTTTTCAGGAGCAGACAAAATACAAGCAATGACATTCAAAATATAATGATAATTTAGGCATCCTACCATCATGATTTTTAAAGACTTATGACTGATATTATGAAAACGTTTTCATCTTTTGTTATTACTGTTTGATTTTACTTTTGGTTTTGGAAAGAATAAGTTTTTGCACAATCCACATATTTGCTTCTTTTTGCTCATCTGTTTTTATTTCTCTTACTTTTTTCCTAAGAAGCTGAGCTTTGGGGGCTGGTTGCCTGTCACAGTTCTGTTAGTGGCCACTGCTCACACTGCTGTGGCTGTGATATGCTTGGAGTAGTTCTTAAAGCATGGTCCATGCTCAGTGTTCATCTTTGAGTTGTCACTTACTTGTTCATGAGGAAATATAGAACTTGTATCAGAGTTGACATCAAAGAAGGCAGTAAATATAATTTTGATTTTAGTTTAGCTGACATTTGAGGACAAAGCTCTCTTAATGTAGAAGACTGTTCCTCATCTCACTGGGCTTTTAATCAACATTTCACTGAGGAAGTAAAATGCTATTTTTGAGTAGCATTGATCTCTAAAGTAGCAATTTGTAGTCAAATTGGAAAAT